GACTGTCCCTTTTTTTTTGCTCCAAAATATACTATAATTATTCAATGGGATTAATGTCTGGACACTGTGGTGACGTTTCCATATATCATGGTGTTCCATATATCATTAAAAAGGATCCACATTCCTGTGTTTCAAGCCCTTTTCTTTAAATCATTGTCGTGCTGAAAAATGAAATCGTCTTTTACGCCCATTTTTTCAGCACTTTTGTGTAGTTTACTTTGCGCAATATTGATGTACATTGCATGGTCCATTGTACCATTTATAAAGTAAAGATTCCTCACACCAGAAGCATACATACACCCCCAGCCGAGTACAAAACGACTTATTTATTTTACTGTGGGCTGGAGGTTCTCATCGTGCTAAACATTTCCTATCTGTGCCAAGAATATTTTTTTACTTTTTTTATTTATAACAAAAAATTTACAATCTATTTTTTTTAAATAATAAGTAAATATGATGTTGTAGAATTATTCTGACATTGATTGATTTCCAGTGAAGGTATCCCATCGGTACTCTTCATCTACTTCTTCATACTATAACAAAAAACAAATATTATTTTGGGTTGGCTGCAAGTGGGATAGTTTAGTAGCTGAGGGTAATGTTTCAGTTATTAGTTGAGAATCTATATGGGAGTTGTAGGGGTGAGGTTCTGGTTAGTCGATGGATGTATGCACTATTGTCTAGGATGTTGAGGGCTAAGTGGTTTGGATGGTTTTCAAGGCGCTGGAGATAGTTTGAGCTGATAAATTCTATTCTTTCCAAGACAGTGGGCATTTTTAAGTCCTTGTGCAGTGCTGCATTTGTGATGAACCATGGTGCTGCCGCGATCATTCTTAAGGTCTTGGATTGAAATCTCTGTATGATCGAGAGATTACTCTTGCTTGCTGTGCCCCAGATTTGGATGCCGTAGGTCCATATTGGGATTATGATAGCTTTATATATCAACAGTTTATATTCCAGTGATAGTTTTGAGTGGTATACTAGTATCCAGTATAGTTTTCTTGTTTGAACTTGGTGCTTTTTTTGTGGCTAAGATGTGATGCTTCCATGTTAGCCGTTTGTCTAGATGTATTACCAAGTATTTTACACTTTCCACCTGTACTATTGGATTGTTGTTGATGTGGACAGTAGGGCATTTTGTTTTTTCTCAGGGTAAAAGTTATATGTGACTGATTTATTTTCGTTGTATTTTTATTTTCACTTTTTGGCCCAAATCTTCAATCATTATGAGATGTTTTTGTAATGTCTTGATGCGACATTAGGTCGTCATCCGAAGCTATATGGCCGTATCATCTGCAAAAGTGGCTATGGTTGTTTATCTGATTTATGTATATAGTAGTATAGAGCTGGTATAGGATAGGGCCGAGTACATACTACTTGTGGTACTCCGGCCTTGATTGGATGGAATTCAGATAATTCATTTTGATATTTGATTGGAAGGTGCGGTGGGATAGAAAAGATCTGATGATGTTGAAGACGGGATACGGTAGAAATTCTTGAGTTTAAATAAGAGTACATCGTGCCAGACTTTGTCAAAGGCTTGGGCAATGTATAGAAATGCGGCTGAACAGTTTTTCTTTTTCTGGAAGCAATTCTCAATGTAGTTGGTGATTCTATTAACTTGTTCGACGGTAAGATGCTGTTGTCTAAACACCAAATTGATGATCAGGGACTAGGTTATTGGTTTGGCTATGTGAGGACGTATTCTTGATAGAAGAAGTTTCTCAAATACTTTGGATAGAATAGGAAGTATACTGATGGGACGGTAGGAGGAGGTTCATGATGGTCAGGTTCCCAGGCTTGAGAAAAACTTGAATTTGGGCTACTTTCCATTGCCGGGTAGTGCCCTGTTCTTATAATACTGTGAACAATGCAGTAATTACAGTTTGCCTTTTCGTGATAGTTCTTTGAGAAGAGGTGTTGTGATTAAGTCATAGCCAGGAGCTTTTTGTTTGATAAGGAGTTTATGTTTTGGTAATTTCTCTGGGAGTGAAGTGCGGGATTGGAAGAGTCATCTGGTTTGGGAGTTAAGATAATCTCTGATTTGTTGCTCTTGGTTAGTATTTATATAGGATGAGTCTGGAATACATTAGCAAAGATTTGGCAAAGGTAGACGCTTTCTCTGTGGGGTTTCTTGCCCAACTCTTGTTTTCGTCCCTGATTGGGATTTGATTTGGGGCGGTTTTTTTAGCTTCCCTGTGGCTTTAAATAAGGAGTAATTGGTATCTTCTGTTGGGTAAGGTTGGTTATGAAATCTTCAAACCTGTTGTTGTTGAACTTCGTTTAGGAGGCGTTTTAGTTGCCTAGTTGCTCTGTTGTAGTTGGTACGGTCTTCAGGATATTTTGAAGTATGACAGATTCTCCTTAGTCTCTTTTCTCGGCTATTTTGTTCAAAAGAACTTTTGGATATTCACGCAGCCTTGAGTGTAGCGAAGTTGCGGTGTAGCGTCAAGCTGCTTCTTGAATATTTTGTATATTAATACTCAGTCGCTTCGTCTATGTGGTCAGCTGATTTTAGTGGTAATCGGATGTTTGCTTTCATAGATATCTGTTTTCTATACAAGTTTCCAGTTTGTCTTTCTGTTCGTAGTGACGCGGGAGAGGATTGTAGAATAATTTTGTTGCCGACTGTGATAATTATTGGAGTGTGGTCTGAGGACAGTTCGTGCGAAGATTCTATGATACAGTTAGTGGATGGGATTCCTTTTGTTTGAATATATCAATTACATCTGGAGTTTTGGTTAGATCGGTAGGCCAGTAGGTAGGTTCTCCTGTAGAAATGGTTTCTAGCTGAAGTGAGGTACCAACTTCAGCAGTTCTCTCCCTCTTTGGAGTGATGAGCCTGGATCCCCATTGCGTGTGTTTGGCATTGTAGTCTTCTCCTACCATGTACCTATTTACTAGAGACTATAAATAGGTTTCAAATCGTTGTCTATTTGAATCTTGGAGGGCAGTAAATGGCACTGATGGTAATTGTCCACTCCAGTCCATAATTTGTACAGTCGTTGGCTTGAATTCCTGTCCCTGTACAGCTTCCTGTTCTTGATGTTTTATAGTGCTTTTTATTAATTTTGCTGTGCCACCATGGGCATTGCCACTAGGGGTGTTTAGTATCGTATAAAGTGTAGTTCTTCAGTTTAAAGTAGCTTTTCTGTGATGTGAGATTCAGAGATGAGTAGCATGTCTATTTTGTTTCGTTGAGAAATATTTCGATTTCTTGGCATGATTGCCAAGCCGTTGGCGTTCCAAGCTGCAATGCGAAGGATTTAGGCATTAGATAGTTTGGAGACAAGCGACGTTATGAGGTTAATGAGAGAGTTTATTTGTTGACTTTGCTGCATTAGTATGTTTTCAAAACCTCTCAAAGGAGTGCGTGTAATTTTCATAATGGAATTGCTATCGTCGTTTGTGTTGATGTCTTTTCTACAAGGCTTTGATCGCGCAACATCGGCCCATGTTCCTGCATTTATATGTCCACTTCTTGAGTTTTCGTGAGAATAAGTAGTTTCAATGTTCCTGTTTTGTGTTTGCACATGCATCTCTTGTTGAAAACATTCTGGGTGTACTTGAGTTGTTGTACCCTTTCCTTTTTAGTATTTCTTGGTATACTTGCAACCTTTGTAGTTGGCGGGATGGTTGCCTTCACACAGAGCACAAGTTGGTTGACTTTCCTTTCTTTTAAACACTTATCTGGGTCGTGTTCTTTTCCACATTTAACACACCTGTACGGTATGCACAGTACGACATGGTATGTTCATATCTCTGATAGTTTTTTGCATTGTACTATCTCGCGTTCAGCGTGGTGGTTCGAAAGCAACAACACAATTTAACAGTCGGTTAATTTTGAACACTTCTTTGTTGTTAGGTTTGGGCTCAAGGTCTACAAAAAATAGAGGCAGAGTGTATTTAGTTAGCATGTGGCGGACATTTATAATGTTTCTAACTTTGTGACCTTTTCCAGAAGCGCAGCCTTGGTATCTTTTACGTCTACCGTATGTATGTGTCGCAAGACAACTCTATACGCACGTTCTTGTTCAACTGGTATGTATAGTATACGTGACTGTTGGCTGATAAATGTTTTATTATTTCCCTGTAGGTATTTGGAGTTTCGGCGTTATTTTAATTTTTGTCGTTGCTAGAGTTTTATTCGAAATCTTCTGTTTTTAAGGCTTACTTTATAAAATTTGATCATAGCTGGAACATATTCACATTTGGCACGAAAGTTGGGAGTACAGTGGTTTTTGGAAAAGGTTTCCTCATTGTTTTCTGTTGTGCCTTCTATATCAAGAGCACTGAATTGATTCTGGTGGGAACTGTATATACACTAGTATTACTATCGCAAGACGCTTGTCTTTTGCCTTACCCTTCTATTAGCATCAGGGTCGAGGACGTCAGGGTTCGGCCTTTTTGACCGAGCTGGTGTGTATATTTGCCATAACATTCTGCGTCAGGTTGACGGGAGCAAGATGAATCATGATCCATGCCGTTGCTGTCGCTGCCTGTTGATTCTTCGGATGACATTTCTTGAAGTAAACAGCTTCCCGGTGTCAGTAGCATGCAATCGCACTACATGCTACTGATCCTACCCGAAAGTACTTCGTAATCGACGAGTTTTAGTATAGGTTGTCTTTTGTTAGGTTGATTTGAATATGAGAGAATGAACCACTGTTATACTTTACAAATATAACTGGTTCATTAGAGCTAGTGCGCACTGGTTATTATCGCTAGACTTTTCCTTATCTTGGCGCCCTCGCGGGCACTACGGAGCTGCGGGCACGATCCGCACACCACAGCGGTCAGGCGAGTACTGTGCCAAGAATATAAATTTACTTTCATCAGTAAAAGATAATGGGTTCTACATTTATTGGGAACTGTATCAAAATTATTTAGTATATTCTAAGCGCTTTTTTCTCTTAATGTCATTGATCCACAATTCCCTAAGCGCCCCACGTCCATGGCACTCACTGTTTCTTAGTATTATGAGAACTGTACTTGAAAAAATGTCTATTCCAGAGGCACGTTTTGGAGCACTAGGTTTTTGGTATACACTTTAAAGTCGCGAAAAAGTTGCACGGATGTGTCACGTTCATTTAGCAACTGTGGCTGTCCACTCCTGCGTTTGTTTTCCGAGCACAGATTCTATCAATTACATTATCACATCTTTGCACAACCTTTACCTTTTCTCTCAAAGATCTGCATTCATTACGCAAGCAAATTATTATTTGTCTCTCTTCTTTTCTTGTACCCTTTTCTTTACCTCCAGTAGTAACAGTTGATGAGCATATACTTCAGTATCGTACACTTCTCAATCACCGACTGGTGAATGCCAGAAAAGAAATTGATTCGAAAACCGTTACAGCTAAGGGTTACGAGGTGATTCTGACTGAGAACGTGTTGAAGGTCAATGCACAGACGGCTGCGGCCGTGGTGACTGCCAGGAAACCGTTACAATGTTTGAGAGTTTGCGATTTGCAATATTTTTGGGTGTTACAATACTCTTAAAACTCACTGTAGTTCCCTCAAATCCCTGAGAACAAGCATTGAACCATATTCATAATTATTCCGTTGAATTCCAGGAGAATTAAAACCACCAACAAGAATAATGACATTAAAATACTAGTATCAGTTGAAGCTTCGGAATACGACTCGTACACATCACGAGAGCTTCTTGGAGGTACATAGAAAGAAATCACTGACAATCAACACGTTCTCAATAAAACAGATAAGTGTTTAAAGTTGACGTAGAACGAAATAAGCAAAACTCTGACACAAAAACACTCGGAATTCTCAAAATATCTATTTTTAATTATTATAATTATATTATAATAATAATTATTATAATTATATTATAATAATAATTATTATAATTATATTATAATTAAAAAAACTAATCACGATGAGACTGGCCTTGAAAAGTCTTGCACTATTATCGTAGGGTGAGAACTTGTGTATTGGGCTTCATGCACCAGCCAATTGCGAGCAAACCCAGGCTTTAGGGACCGTCCACAAATTACGTAACGCAAATTTGGAGTATTTTGAATACCCTCTCTCCCCGCTGTAACGCGCGCTTGAACCCCTCCCTAATAATTACGTAATGCTTGTGACAAGCCACCCCCCCCTCCAATTCCAAAAAGTGAAACTGAATTATAAAGCAGAAACGACTTGTATTAATTGTATTTTTCGTTATACATTAATGTTTATTATAATTTTTTTAATGAAAGAAGGGCGCGCAGGCGAGAGGCTTTCTGACGAGCCGTGCACCTGCCGTCGTGGATGATGCATAGGCAACGAATCTACTGCGCCAACTAATTGGATTCTAGAATATACTTTAGATAAATTATGAATAAGTTCTTCATATCTAGAGGATTCAATCAATATTTTCATTTATTGTAACCATTTATGGATTATATCTTCGTTCATTTATTATAGTTTTAATTGCATTTGTTAATATGAAAATGTTTTAGTGTAAGACTGAATAAAAGAAATTATTTCAGCAAAGATGAAACATTCTAAAACTAAATATGAGTATTACGAATCGCTCAACTACAAACCCCGTACCCCTATGTAACGCAGCGTAACGCTGCGTCACCCCCCCCCCCTCGACAGCAATCCGTAATTTCTGGACCCCCAAGGCAGCCACACTCTTTGCCGCATCGCTTGGCGCGAGACCTGGCGGCCCGAAAGAGAAGCTCGAAGCCACGAAGGAGCTTCCGCGAACGCGCGCCCCACTCGTCGCACAGTTGGCGACAGCGGAGTCTGGGGGAGACATCTAGCGGCCGGCTAATTTGATCAGTACCAGCCCCTGCACGAGCGGTACCCTAACAAACGGGCCACGGACCGCGCGCGATCTTTCCTTCCTCTTAATAGTTATATCCTCACCTCTTCTACTCTCGCTCTACACTCACTTATGCTAACATCCACTACACCGCCACACATGCCGGGAGGTCAGTCGAGGGCTTAGAATAGCTGGGGCGGTGCTCCGCTGGTGGGAGATACCTGGTTGTTGAAAACCTCTCTAGTCGACGGTATGTCGGCGTTAGAGCACGTCATACAGCGGTGGGGGGGATATCACCGTCACCTCCTCCTGCAAAGACATGCACTACACTTACGGGACCAATGCCGTTAGCAGTGACGCGACTGGAAACACTAATCAGTCAATGGACCAACCAAAAGCGCAGGGACGAAATGCGTTAAGGGATTCGTCCACGTGACATTTGGGGAGAGCAAAGAAACTGTTCACTGGGCATTGTCCTCAGGACAACCGTGTGCCCTGGTAGGTCTTTTAGGCGCCGATAGATGGCAGCTGGAAAGAGGGTGGCCCCTAACCGCCAAGTTCAAGAGAATATTCGAATAGTAAGAAAAAGTCTGCGCCATTCTGTTGCGAGACAATTTTTCTTTTCTCGCCATTATGTCTTAAGAGGAAAATCGAGCCCCGGAAAACAGCCATTTGCATCAGAAAATTGTTAAAGAAAAGTTGCTACTGAATATAAAAAATTACTTCCTATAATTCGTTGTGTAGTCAGAATCCATATTTTGTAAGTCCTTGATACTTAAAAATCGATTGACAGCAAAAGTGTGACTGTCCGTCAATATAAATAATATTACGAGAAAGTATGTGCTGTTGGAGCTGTATTGAAATGAATGATGAAAAGGAAATCAATTTTTGCAATGAAGATTTTATTTTCATCGAATAATGGATCAAAGTAATATACGTATTTTTAAAGCAATATGGTTTACTTGCAAAACCTCGTACGTTTGATAATTAACGAAAATATAGTTTTAGTACCCTCGGATTCATTTAGCTGCCTGGCACACACTGACGAGCCCTCGGAAGGCAAAACCGCATTGTAGTGCTCTCTATCGGCGATTGAAAGTACTCAACGTTTCATTGACTTATGGAGTCACAAATCAGTTTTTTGTCTCTTCTGAAAAAATACTGTAGACTGTTTTTTACTGGTATACAGGTTTTGGAAGAAGATAATCGATATGAACTTTGCAAGGCTCCTATCAAGTCTGTGTTGTCATTCACTTCTCGCTCGAGCTAGAATCTGACCACATTGTGAAGAGGGGCTCGACAAAAGTGGATTTGCGTGAGGCCTGAATGCGAGGAGATAAAAGTATGTTCAGGAGCAATCAGTGCTGGACGTTGGTCAATTGCCGACAGTACTTTACCTTTTGTGGTGACTTAGCGATAAGATTTCGTATCTGCGAATCACTATCAACGCAACAGACATTTCACAATAAGATACTGATTGGCGTGAAGTAAACAACTCGCCCCTTTTTTGTAGCTATTGGATTTTCCTTTAAAGACATATCCAAACAAATGAGCCACTCATCACTTGAGAATGTGTCATTCTTGGAGTGATTCTTCTGTTCAGTTGCAGGATTCATTAGTTTTCTTTTTTGGGAGAGAAGTGGGCTGGCGTGACAAGTGCTTGGCGTCTTTTGTGTCCATATCGACTCTTCCCTTACAAATAACTATCTTCTTCACAGCTGCTGAAGTGTCTCAGGGCATCTGCTGATGCCACTGCATTGCCTCAGACCGGGAGGCCCTAGCCATTCAGGAAGTGGTAGAATTTTCGTCACTAGCTAGATCGAATATAGTCACTGTCTGGAGGAGAATTATAGCGGCTGGAGGCTCTTATCGGCACTTTACCATGGTTTCTCCGATTACCTCCAGGCGAGTGCCGGAGCAGTACGCTAACAAGTGAGCCATGGACTGCGCGCGATCTTTCCTTCCTCTTTCTTGCCCTATCCGCACACGCACTTACACTTACTGCGCTGCCACACACATCGAGCAGATTTCGGCTGAGGCCGCGCCCCGCTGGTGGGAGATACCTGGATGGGGAAAACCCCGCTCGATGACGTAAGTTGGCGCCGGATCTCGCCCTCCAGCGGGCGAAGATCACCGCCACCTTCCGAACAGAACACATGCACTACACTTACGAGACCAATGACCACAGCGGTTGAGGCGCCCATAAACGATCAATTGCCTCTTCTCAGGCAGATTGGGCGCGTGTCATTGCTCCGACTTCTCTTTGTGTAAAGAACACCTCCAAATTAGCACTCGATAAAACACTGAATATTTGAGAAGTATCTTGACACGGGTATCTTGACACATAATCATAGTTTGCTCTAATTGTTTGAAAAAATATTTTATTTAAAGACGCATCAACATCAAGGTTATTATTGACAGCAACTATACATGATATACTATAATCAATATAAGATTTAAATTACTTGACACACACAATTTAAACAAGTATTAGAACATTAATTTACAATTGACAGTCAAGCTTATAACTCATTATACAGTTTTAGTATTTTATATAATTTTAATGAAAAACAGATTATAAAATATATAATTTTCCTGAAAAACACAAGATTATTAAATATATCAAATGTTGTGTCTGTAGGACAATTATATCGTTCATGGACATATTTGGTACACGACGGTCATTTGGAAGCTGTATTATTGAAGATGTGAGTGAGTTGGCTAATGTGTTCAGATCTAACTAAACTAAAAACTACAAAACACCCAATCGCAAATCAAGTGGCACTTCCTCGAACCAGACCTGAACAAACTAAGCTCTAAAAATGTAAAATGTTCGCCCATCGTAATGGAGTTAGGTCTTTCTGAGAACGAGTGTGTTATAACTTTCATTTAAATGTACCCTGAAAAAAAACACACGATATTTTTAAATAGACCGACATAAATATATACCTGCAGAATACACTAGTAAAATATTTGTCACAAGATAATTTAGAGGATATCCATTAAAATGAATTAAAACTGCTACTCTTGTAGGTTTTTTTAAAAGAATGTCCTAAGTAACTAAATTTCACATTCTGTACATTGAAAATTATTTTTACTTGTTATTCGACGGACAAAGGAAGTCCCTTGCAAACCAATCAGATTCGTTCATAGTTTTTGAATATTGAAAATATTTTTAACTACCAATAAACTTACCTTAACTACTAACAAAAAAAAAAAATAGAATTAACAAGAATGCAAAATTTTAAACCGAAAACATATGCATAAAAACTTTTTGCAACTCAAATTGTTTTACACTGCCTCACACTATGCATATCTTTTTTTGCTTACTTCCCAATCATATTTCCAACAAATAAAATGACAACTCTTTTAAAGCGATTGCTTTTCACACGAAGTGATTTTGGCAGCCCCTCGTGACTTTTCCTGTAAATTTATCTCAGCACTTTCTCTACAAACTCACTTTCAAACTCCTCATTAAGTTGCATTTAGTTCGTAAATTAACTTGTCAAGATAATGAAACAAGAATTCACGATAATATTTCATGGATAAGGCAACATAACATGTACTCTAAATTACCCTTAGGAAAAACAACTAAAACATGCTTCTTCAGCTGTTAAAAAAGGGAGAAGCTTTATTCTACAATTGGGCTGATGCTGCTCAGTGACAGAATATAGAAACATGAAAGAATATACTATTACAAATAAAAAATCCAATAAATTATTCTATGTCCCTAATGAGCACAAATATTATTTGTGCCTATGAAAATACATATTTTGTATACTCACGTTGACATAAATAAACTTACAACATACACATACATGAATTCACATACAGCACATATATTGTAAGGGGCAGCACCTATTCACTCATAAGTATATTCAAACAATTAAGGATAAATA